TAGGCCAACTTCCCCCTCCTCTCCTCTCCCTCTCCTCTCCTCTCCTCTCCTCTCCTCTCCTCTCCTCTCCTCTCCTCTCCTCTCTTCCTCTCTCTCTCTCCTCTTCTTCTCCTCTTGTCTCCCTTCCCCTCTGTCTCCCCTTCTTCCTTCTCTTCTTCTCCTTTCCTCCTCCTATCATATTCTATCGACGTGAACTTACGATGCTGATCCAGGCAGCTTGCACTGTCCGACGACCTGAAGAGAGCATACAGCCATGTGAACCCCTCCCCCCTCCCCTCGCCTCCCTCGCCTCCCCTACGCCCCCCCCCTCTCCCCCCCCCCTCTCTTGACTTCCCTGCATTCCTCCTCCTGTGAATTGACCAATTCTTCAGATCCTGATGTCCAAGTCATCGAGACGAGGGGCAAGGGGAGAGGGCTGCAGGCTGCATGCGCCATCAGCAAGGGGACGATTGTTTGCGAGTACCTTGGAGAGATTTTGCCGATGCATGAAGCAAGAAAGCGACAGAAGTTGCCTGTGAGCTTGCTGATCTTGCCGACCATGACATGTTGTAGGAGGTATGATGAGATGACACCTCCGTTGAATTATGTCTACGTGCTCAGGGAGATCTTCATTCGAGGAGGTATGCCTTACATCTCTCCATCTACTCTTCCTCCTTTTCTGCTTCCTCCTCGTCCTCCTCGTCCTCCTCGTCCTCGTCCTCGTCCTCGTCCTCGTCCTCCTCGTCCTCCTCCTCCTCGTCCTCGTCCTCGTCCTCGTCCTCCTCGTCCTCCTCCTCCTCCTCCTCCTCCTCCTCCTCCTCCTTGGCCTTCTCCTCCGCAATTCAAGTGACCATCACAAGGCCGAGAGGTCGCTCTTCGGACGACAGTAGATGCGACTATCTTCGGTCTCTTTTTGCCTCTGCAGCTTTCAAGTTGATCTTTTCACTCAGGCAGCGTCGGGCGATTCGTCAATCACTCGTGTGACCCCAACATGGAAGCAAAGCCCGTAACCTGCTCCTGCTCCCTCACCGCCCCTCCCTCTCTCCCCCCTTCTGCTCCCTCTCCCTTCCCCCGCCCCTACCCCTGCCTGCCGCCATCACCATTGAGCATGTGCTGATCACAGTGAAGGTTCGAATCGACGCGGCTCTTCCTCGCATTCTCTTCTGCGCTAGTCGGGACATTCTAGCTGGGGAGGAGCTGACCATTAGCTACGGAGAAGGTTGTTGACGTGAGCCTTGAGCCGTTTGTGACGACTTATCCAACACCAGCAGATGCTCACGGAGGGGGCAGCAAGTGCGTATGTGGGGCAGAAGCATGTCGGGGAAGCCTCCCAAGGGAGGAAAGTTTGTACGAGGAAGAGGAGAAGAGGTGAAGAAGAGTCGTCACATGAGCCTGTTGATCCGATCAGTACAATTCATCCATGTTACAAGTCCTCAACTTCATCGTCTCCTCTACATAACTCTGCACGTCAGTTGGCATGCTGCTCTGAAAGTTGCCGGATTCTCTTCGTTCCGTTCACATGTTACCTTGTTCCTTGACAAACAGTCTTGCTCCTTCAATCCTCTGCGCGTCCTCCTTCGGCTGTTCAAGAAGATCTTTGTCCGCCTTGCATCTGTTGATGTGTTACAGGTTTCCTTCCCTGCACTGAGTTCTTGGCAGTATAGCTCCCCCGATTGTCTCTTCCATGATTGCCAGTTATTGCTGCATTTCCTTGAGAGTTGACACGCCTCCGACCTCGCTGAGAGATAGTCTGCTGGTCTCCTTCTTTCAAATTAGTCTGCTTCCCTGCCGCCTGAGAGATCCTCTGCTTGGCTGCTCCCCGCGAGTTGCCCTTGTCACTCAGGTTACTCGCTTGTTGCTCGACATTCTCGTTCATCACGACATTCGTCGGTTCTGCTTTCTTTTCCAAGTCCACAGGTTGCACATTCACGAGGCCCTTGAGGTTCAGCAGCAACTTCCGGTCCTGTTCCAATGCTTGCTGACTCTTGACCTCCTTGCCTTTACTTGCTTGCTCGAAATTCTTTGGACCGGAAGAGGGCTGAACTCCGGTCGTCACCTTGCCGTTGTTGGCTGCCTTGCCCTGGACGGCTCCATCCGCTGGCCTTGGTTTCATCTTTACGCCTTCTTCTTCCACTTCATCAATCTGTTCTTGCGAGGTGGGTTCTAACGAGCACTCGCTGTCTTTCAGAAACGCGTATTTTACCTAGAACAAAGTTCGTTTCAACAAAATCTCGTGACAACAGCGAGAATGATGACAGCGAAGCATTCGAGCCGAAAGAATCTTATGTGTACTAACCGTCAATTGGTCCTTTGAGCCAAAGTTCCACTTCCGCTTGTTCTCTTTGTCATTCAGGTACGATTTCACGAAGAGATGAAATTCCTATCATTATGGTGAGCATCTTTGGAGCAGAATCACCACAACTACCTCTTGCTGTCCTGTCTCAATTTTCAGTGTCGGATCAGCCCCTACGGTTACCGGAGGAGTGACCTCGTACTTTGTGATACGAGACACATGGATTATCATCCTGCGACTCTGCTTGCAAGCCTGCATGCTGATGCGCAATGGATGCTCTTGCCCGTATCTCTGTATCACTTCATGCAGGATATGCGAAACGATCTTCATAGACTGAGCTGAAGGTGAGCTGTAGACGACAGACTGGAGAGCCCTCTCACCTCATCGAAGAAGAATCTACCCATCTGCGGTGACCCGTAGAGCAGAGTGTCCATATAATCCAGCGTGATATATTGGAACCCAAAAATTTCCTGAGAACCAACAGCTTAAATGAAGGGTTCATTTGGTAGAGGATAGCCTACCTGAGTGTTGTGATATGTTACAAATGCACCATCCATCGCACCGATTCTGAGCTGGCACGAGTACTTCAAGAAGGCAGATCGGAGCATGTCATACAACTCTCGTTCAAACGAGTGCCACAGGCCGTATTGTTGGGTGATGCGATAGTCAGTGAAGTGAAGGTGGCATTCCTCAGAGGGGATGTCAGGGAGTATATTGTAGCAATTGCGGATAGCGTGAGTGGCCCTTGTCTTGAGATCGAAGATCTTGTTCTTTCCCAGAACACAGTCCAACTAGGAGAGAATGATCACAATCTAAACCCTAGAAAGACAAGAATTTACCTGCGAGCGTAACATAATGCCGTTGCTGATAGAGAAATTGTACGCTCCGAGCAAGAGCTCCTCTGGGAATTCAGGCATTTCGTCGCTTCCCAGCGGTTTCAACATCAGCGAGTTGAAGGTTTTCTTGTCCATGGTCAGCATTCTCTCCATCGCCTTCCCCAAGTCCATCAAGATCTTGTTCCTCTGTTCTTTCTCGTTCTCAGCATTGATGCACATTATTCCGTTGTGCGGGATCAGATGGACTACGGCAGGTTTCAACCTGATCGTGGATGTGAACTGATTGGGCATGTTTCGAAAGGCAGAAGAAAATTTGGAAATGTCCACCGGCTTCCAGTTGGAGAGCAGCTGGGGTATCGAATCAGCACACCGTCTCCTCTACCACAGCAGCAACAACTCACCATGTACGCGTGCGAGTACAACCCCGAGATCGAGCTGGTAGAGGCCTGAAATGATGCTCCGTGTTCGGCAGCGAGTTTGTTGAGCTTGGCATCTTGAGACGGAGGGATGAAAGGAGGGATCCCGGCCCAATTTATCTCATCTGGCTGCGCGATCTTCTTGAGGAAGCTGTCAAAGTGGGCCCCACGGAACTTGCTCGAGAGCGGCACGGGAGTCTCGGTCTTGGTGCTGATAATCTTCGAGAGCCCATGGGCAAGCTCGGGTACCTCAGCGTCCGGGCCGTGGGCCTCAATTAATTGGAAGCCAACAGGTTTTGGGAGAGCATTCCACGTCACGTCCGAGGGGACATACCTCTTCGGCGTGTCCCTCGACAGGTTGTCGCGAGACTTTCGGGCAGTCTTGATGCTGCTGCGGTGCTCCTTCAGCCATTGCGCTGCCGCTGCTTCCGCTGCCGTCCCTCTGCTGTCCCCCTGCCCGCTAGAGCTCCTGCCGGCACCCTTGACTTCGCAAATTTCGGAGCCTCCAGTGCCTGACTTCTGATACGAGAACAAAGGCTCCGGAAGTCGGAAAATTCTGAACAAAGAGAAGAGTTCAGAGCGAGACGATTTACCCTGCTTCGCTTGCTCCGCCTGCGTCGTCTGGTCCTCTTGCTGCCAGCCGACCATCACTGTTCAAACGAGGAGAGGAAACATGTCAACGTACCCCAGACGAGACTTCAACTTTCGCTGGTTCTTGTCTTGTACTGCTCTCCACCGGTGCATTTGATCCGCTTTGATTGCCTGACTGAGCGGCAAGGAAGGCGAGGAATCTTCTCTCGCTAGCCGCCCATGGTAGGACACATTTCCTGAGGGCGCTCTTCAGCATCATCCTGTGCTGGGATTCAAGATGTCCTCAGATCCTATCTTGCAGTAAATGTGGGTTCTATCAGACTCAGAGAGCAGGTGGTTCCTCCGATGTGCAGCTGCAAACTTCGTACTGTCCCTGCACCACGGTTGTAAAGTCCAAATCTTACACAAAATCCGCTGACAGGTTGAACATGAACAAGCTATCAGGGGCTTTTGGATCCTCGTTTCTACTGGATGACGTTATGAAGTCCCTTGCTTGTCTTGCTCCTCGTTCCGCCCCCTCCTCGCCTTCTTCTCTCGCCTCTTCCCCTGCTCCTGCCTTCGCAGCCCTGCATAACAGCGGTTCACGTGCCCACATCAGACACTAATGAAAGACCCCCCGGTGGGGTGGGGTGGAGGTCAGGATGGGGGTCAAGGGGTTGTGAGTCCTAGGCAAATTCGTGCTAAAAGTCCCCAGGTGGGTGGGTTATGATGCCCAACCCCCCTGGGGTGGGTACAGCTTCAGAGGTAGAACGACTGGGGGTGATTTTGTGGGTTTGCCAGGGTGGGGGGTGGGGAAAAGCAAAACTTCACATCATGCAGCGACTGGCAGGGAAGGTTGCAATAGTGACCGCGTCCACTGCAGGTGACAAGGAGGAGGGGAGAATGGGGAGGAGAGGAGGAGAGAAGAGAGTGAGAAAGAGCGAACCGAGTTGCCATCAGTGCATGTGATCTGGAGAAGACTTGTTGAGGAAGGAGTAATGAAGTAGAAATGCGGTTTCGGAAGGGGCGCAACGAGATGTGGGAGGTGGAATTGAGAGACAAAACTCTATGAAAACAATCATCTGTTTCTAGGAGTAGATTTATTGACGATATACGATACAAAGCACTTGTTCCTGGTGCGCTCAACGCTGTTTGATAGCTGTAGTGGGCCGAAATCTCTACTTTCGCAAACTGACGACGGACAAACTAGGGATCGGACTTGGCATTGCCAGAAGACTTGCTCAAGGTTGAACCAACCTTCTCTGTTTCTCAATGTTGAGCTTGTTTGGTCTTCGCAGAGGGAGCAGGAGTTATGATATGCTCCCGTAAACTTGAGAATGTCCAAAAAACAGTGGACATGCTGCGATCGGAGAACCTCAAAGTGGAAGGAATTCCTTGTCATGTGGTCGGTTGCTCATCAAGATACAAACATGTGAAGCACAGATGACACGATGTTCACTCAGGGAAAGGCTGAAGATCGTGAGAACCTCATCAAGGCAACTTTGGACAAGTTCGGTACGACTAAGTCCTGGCAGACGCCGACCATGCACATGACACAAGGCGTGACAGGAGGAAGGATCGACGCGCTTGTCTCGAACGCGGCAGTGAACCCCGGTGTGATGTGCAAGTGGGCATGAAGAAGAGCTCACTACTTGCTCTCACAGCGTACGGGCCCCTTCAAGAAATGAGCGAGTCGCAGTGGGAGAAAATATTTGATATCAACGTGAAATCGGTCGCTCCGTGATGGACCTCTGTGCCCTGAGAGATTATGTTGATCTTGAACTCTGCAGGCTTTTCTCTTGTCAAAGGAAGTCATTCCAGTGATGCAGCAGGTAAAGGAAGCCGCTCTTTGACACGAGGGTACCCTAAAACTCGATTGAAATAGCAAAAGTCGGGTTCTATTGTCATGGTTTCCTCCATTGCTGCATACACGGCTATCGAGGGACTAGGCGCATACTCAATCAGGTGAGTGTCACTCTCCCATGCCGAAGAGATTGTCACTGGTGCTCAGCAAAACTGCTCTGCTCGGACTTTCCAAGGTCATTTGCAAGCTCGAAGCAAAGCAAGAGGGTTTATTCATCACAGGTCATTGCGCATGAGCAAGCTCAGTACGGCATCCGCTGCAACTGCATCGCTCCTGGAATCGTCAAGGTGAAAGCTCCTTCTCGAGCCAACCAGAAAGTGCCGACCCACTTGTTTACAGACACATTTCTCTGAAGCTCTCTGGACTGATCAGAAAGTGCACGACAAAGTCGTTAGACAGGCAGATCGTCGTTGGCTTGCTCATACCTGCTGACGAGGCTGGCAGGTCCCATTGAGAAGATTCGGAGAAGCAGAGGATATCGCAGGTGCCGCTGCGTTTCTCTGTTCAGCCGACAGCAGCTATGTACGCGTTCATTTGCACTTTGGTGAGAGTCTGAGTCAACTGTCAGATGACTGGGGAGACCATGGTGATCGCTGGAGGAATGCTTCCTGCAAAGATCTAGAACTGTCTGACAGCCAAGACTAGAAATGGAAATCTTGTGACGTGTTTGTATGGCAGACTTGCTTCATCTTAGTTAGAGCAGCGCACTGGGTAATGAATACAGCAACACTACCCTCACGATACGATCTGTCTGAGGCTGACTCGCCTTGGTGTCATGACGGAGTTCCGCGCAGTCGGGCGGCTACAGCCCCTCATGTTTACCACATGGCCCCTATACTATAGCTGACCCGGTTATAGCTCCCTTGCGACAATACGAAAGGGTGTGCTTTCAGTCCATCGAAACAATGCATCTACCATCTCCACCGGACAATGATCCGAAAGGACACGATTTCAAGAGATGCTGTCTGTAACCTCGTGCAACTTCTTCTGAGGGGGTGGGTGGGTGAGAGGCCTCGATAATCTTTCTGCGCTTCCTCGTCCCTAGCGCCTGCCATGTCCCTGCCCCAAACCTACCACGTCGTCTATCCCCGCAGAAGTACCTCCCAGCTCGCTCTCCACAGAAAGCCCAAGATCTACATCACCTCCAACAAGATCCAAAGCCTTTTCCACCTCCGTCAAACTGACGCCGCCAGGATGCTGGTACCTTGCTCTCCTCCTCTCCTCTGCCACGCCCCCCCCCCCCCCCCCCCCTCATAACGACAGACCGAGAGAGCTGACTCATGTCCTACTCTACAGGGCATCTCTTTAACCGCGCTCAAGAACGCGTGCAAGCGGTTGCGGATACCCAAGTGGCCTTACAAGCGGACCTCCGACAGCGGCGATGATCACAACGGCGCGAGGGACGCACAGAGCGGCTCGTCCTCCTCAACAGCCCCTCCTGCCCCATCGTCGTCCTTGACGTCGGAGAAGGGCGAGAGAGAGAGCACACACGGCAGGACATGGACGGGAGGGCGAGGAGGACCGGGGATGGAGACATTGCTTGAGGAGGCCCTTGAGCACGCGGGCTGCTAATGGTCGGGTGAGCAACAGAGCATTCCGTCGCCTGGAGTGAGAGGGGAAGGCAGGATAGATGTTTAGATAGAAACTGTTAGTGTGCTATAGTATAGTTGTGTTCCTTTACCAGCAGATGTACTGATGGAGCAAACCGCTGAAGATGTGTTGATAAGAGGAAGTAACTAATTGAGTGTCATGATTTCAAAAAAACGGGAGAAACTGAACAGCGCGACAACTGATAAGACTGATCAGCTTCTCATGAGCGTAAATTTCAAATCGATTGTTCAGAGTCGTCTAATCCTGAACTTCACACGCCGCCGCGGCTGTGGAAGCACTGCCAGCAGGTGGAGCAATGCCGAAGGGAGGAGAAGAGCGTTCGAGGAGGCTGCCAGATCATCCTTTCGATGATCTGAGAGTATTGCGACTCAAATAAGCTTGGGCTTGGATCAATGCTTCTCGCAGTGATAATCGATGACATGTCATCGCGATCGACTGAGTGGGTTTGCTCATTTGTGACAATCAGGCTGGGATCTCAAATGTCATGCTACTAGCGTGCTATTAGACAGTAAGGAGTTGAACAACCGTACTGAGACATTCGCTAATGCAGCTACTGCCAATCTCGGCTCAACGTTCACAACCTATTTGATCTGAGGCTTTGCGTAGAAACTGTCTTCTGTTCACAAAGCTTGTAATTCGGCTTCGATCTGAATGCTGAAGGCATTTCATACATTTCCATGACTGCCTATGAATCAACTTCGATGCACAGAATCTGCAATACACGATGGCACTCGGATCTCTTAGTGTGTGGCCCGGGAGATCTCGTCGGGGAGGGGGCGCTGCTGCGGATCAGACTGACATACAGTTGCTCTAGGAGGCTCTGGAGCACGCGGGCGACTAATCAGCCTGGGAGTATGACTGCGAGGAAAGACATACAAGGAGTATGACTGCGAGGAAAGACATACAAGCGTTTTAGTGAAAATTCCGAAGCTTGGCAGGCTGTCCGGTCACAGATTGATCCAACTGTGATTACTTTTCACACCGTAGTTGCGCTGCAACCATGAGCTTAGACGGACCTGTTAGTGCAAGAGGCATCAGATCAGTAAAGAACTCGAGAGCTTGTGGTGCTTGCAAGTTACCAGTCATGCCAGTCATATGGCCGCAGGGGGACGAGCATCAGTCAAGTCAGCACTAAAAGCTAGATTCACTCAGATCCGGGTCCATTGATTCGATGGGACGGTCGCCTAGTACCGTAGGCTCCGAGTGAATTAACTAAAACCCGTGCCCTCGTGACCTCTGGCTCCCTTGAAGTCTGAAAGGACATCATTTCGAGCCGTCTCGCCCTCACTATCCGTGATACTATGATATCGCATCCTTTGAGGGGCTCAGTCACTTGAGTTGATCAGAGCAGCGCACCGTCTCACACTAAAATAATTCACGTTTCAAGTCTTACAGGAGAGTTTTGTTTACTCGGGGCTATCTGACTGGCACGGCTGGCATGCGATCCATCAGTAGTAAAAACAATACTTCAAGTAACCAGCCCCGCTGTCCCTGATCGGCGATCGGATCCCAGTGTGACTAAGGACTGAGTCCGACCGTACCGGCGTGGCCCGCCGGGCCCGGGCAGGGCCCGGCCCGGTACTGTTATTATTAATGAACATCCTGTAACGTTTCATAACGATTGGGAACCGGAGCATGTCGGGGTTGCAGGAGGCGCTAGTAGCAGCGGGCGGGGAGGAGGAGAAGGAGAGACTCCTGCTCCTGCGACGATGGAAGGACTCCATGTCCTTCCTCACTGAAGATCAGCGATCCTTCTGCATCCTCCTCTCCTCGTCTGACCCAGACTTTGTGCTCAAGACGTCATCGCCGCTGAAACTCAGTTTCACCCTTCCCGCTTCTTATCCAGCAGTGCCATGCCAGGTCTGTCTCCTGAACGAAGACATACCTTCGCACATTCGTGTCCTTGTTGACAAGGCCATCAATGCCGAGGCTAAGAAGCTGGCGGGGAAGACGATGGTTTGCTCCTGTCCTGTCTCGTCCTGTTCTCACCTGCAGCAGGTGCGCGAGCTTCTCAAGTGGTTCGACAACAACACATCCACAATCTTCCAATGTGCTCTGGATGTTCACAACGCAAGGACGCAAGTCACCCCGCCAAGAAATGCTACCGCTCCTTCTCCTTCTCCCTGGACGCCCGAGGAGCAGAAGCTGCTGGAGGCCGCCATGAAGGAATTCCCGAGCACCATGGAGGCGAGCGAACGCTGGGCGTGCATTGCTTCCAAGGTAGCTGGAGGGAGCAGATCCTTGTCCGACTGATCGCTGGGGCAGGTGCCGGGGAGGACGAAGAAGGACTGCATTGAGAGGTTCAAGGAGCTCAAGAAAGCGTTGCAAGCCTCCAGCAGCAAGTCGCAACCAGCACCGAAGGAATCCAAGGAGGAGGAGGCAAAAAGTGAGCAGGAACAGACCAAGACATCTCATGAAGGATCCTCTTCCTCCCAGCGTGAGTGGACGAAGCAGGAGCAGCAGGCTCTGGAGTCTGCCCTCCAGGTTCGGGCTGTAGCGCTCGGACGTTCCTCCTGGTGACTGAGATTTGCGAAGGAGTTTCCATCGAGCATGGAGCGCAAAGAGAGATGGACCAAGATTGCAGCGAGAGTTCAGACTCGTTCTATGCAAGAATGCTTCTATCGCTACAGAGTATGATGTTGGCAATGATGAAGAGGTTATGTTGATGGTGGTGTTTATCATAATCCTGATCATGATCGTGATCGTGAGGAGGAGTTGGTGGTGCGATGAGTGAGTGGGAGAGGCATGAGAATGAAGATGTGGGATGGAGGGTTGACGAAGATGCTCTACTGATGTGCGACACGGGAAGGATCTGAAGAGGATGCTTGAGGAACAACTCGTCCAGGCTGCCAAGCAGGTGACTCTCGCTACTGTGATGTTGATTCACAATGAGCAACTTGTTGGTTTTGTAGCAAATCAAGATAGAGAAGACCGACAAGAATCAGAAACAATCAGCTCAGGCAAACTCACTCTCTGCATCCTTTCACTTCACGATTGAGACGGAGGAGACCTCGAGAGCGAAGGTTCGTGTCCCCTCTTCAACCCTTCGTCCGTGATCCTTTCTCAGGAAGATAAGGGCGAAACCGACAGCGAAGAAGAGGACGACGACGATGAGGACGAGGACGAGGACGAGGACGAGGACGAGGACGAAACTTCTAGTGAGGACGGGGACGGGGCACCACGATCGCACATCCACTACCTCGGTGAACAGGTTGCGCGGGAGAGCTCGACTGATTTTCTCGCCCCCACAGACACACAAGATGGGGCCGACGCGCTGGCAAACCTGACGAGCCATCACAGGTTTACGTTGGAGGGAAGGAGTGAAGGAGCGCTGACGAGGGAGGCAGGGGAATCCAACTGAAACTCAACGACCTCCTCCTGCTGGGCGTAAGCTTTGCTCAAGTCTCACTGATCAGGGTGCAGTGTGCTTGCAAGCGGTGATGTCGGGCTGAGGGGAGGGGGGGGCGGCTGATCGTTGTGAGAGCAGGTGCAGTCTGAACTTGGACGTCAAGGGGGGCAGGCGCTCGACCTTCGATGAGGACTGTACTCGATGCAGGATGATGCAATCGTTCGGTTTTCGACCAGACGTTCTGCATGCTAACAATAACTGTTGCGGGTGATGATTTCTACTCCTCCTCCTCCCCCCCCCTCCTCTGCGAGCAGCACCGCGATCGCAACCACCTCTAGCATATATCGTCGTCGTCGTCGTCGTCATCATCATCGTCATCATCATCGTCATCATCATCATCTTCTTCTCCTTCTTCTTCTTCTTCTTCTTCACCACCGCCACCACAATTCCCATCTTTCTTATTCTTTTGCAGATATATCGATGCTGAGGGTGTTGTTATCGTGGATCTTCTTCCCCTGGATCTGTGGGTCTCTTGCAGCAGTTGCAACTCAGAATCCGTCAGTCTCTCCTCCTCCTCCTCCTCCTCCTCCTCCTCCTCCTCCTCCTCCTCCTCCTCCTCCTCCTCCTCCGTCCTCCTCTTCCTCCTCCTCTCCGTCCTCCTCTTCCTCCTCCTCTCCGTCCTCCTCCTCCTCCTCCTCTCCGTCCTCCTCCTCCTCCTCCTCTCCGTCCTCCTCCTCCTCCTCCTCTCCGTCCTCCCCCCTTCTTTCTTCTTCCTCCTCATTCATCCTCTTCTCGTTCCGACTTTATCCTCCCTGATCATATTCCTCCTGCTCAGCCCCTCTTCTTTCAAATTGCCTCCTCCTCTCGTACCGACTGAGCTCTGCAGATGGTCAAGGGATTGAGCAGGGGAAGGAGAAACGAGTTGACTTGTTTCAACTGCCACCAGAAAATGACCATCGGGTAGCCTGCTGCTCCTGCTCCTGCTCCTGCTCCTGCTCCTGCTTCCGCTGCTCCTGCTCCTGCTCTTGCTCCTGCTCCTGCTCCTGCTCCTGCTCCTGCTCCTGCTCCTGCTCCTGCTCCAATCTGCCCTCCACTTCATTTCGTCTCTGCCGCTCTCTCCTCTGATCGTCTTGCAGCTATGGTGACCCTGGCTTCACCAAAGTCGGTCCGAGCGAGAGCGCGCAGACAGGAGAGGGCAAGAGGAGCAAAGGGGAGACAAAGGAGAAGAAGAAGGATTTGCTAGAGCTGGTCCCCGGGAAGCCTCTGCCGGATCGGGGGGCATGCGAGCACTACCGGCGATCCACGTGAGCCCACAGAGTAGAGGAAGAGAAAGTGGAGGCGATTGAAGGGGGAGGAATCGATGGAGGGGAGGGGGAGGGGGAGGTGAAGGTGCAGAGGGAGGAGGGAGGAGAAGGGAGAAAGAGAACGCACAGACTTGCATCCTGATGTTTGAGCAGCCGATGGTTGCGGTTCCCCTGCTGTGGGAAAGCGTATCCGTGCGACATTTGCCACGAGAAGGTCTATCATAACCTTCACTTTCCTGCTCCTGCTCCTGCTCCTGCTCCTGCTCCTGCTCCTGCTCCTGCTCCTGCTCCTGCTCCTGCTCCTGCCCCTGCTCCTGCTCCTGCTGCTGCTCCTGCTGTTCGTTTACCACAGCCCTCCTGCTCCTCCTGCCCCTTGGTCCCTCCTCCTCTCCTTGACAATCAAAGTAGAGCGGCGATGGTTGTCCGCCAGGCACGTGGGCGAATAGGATGATCTGCGGGCTGTGCAGGTGAGGAAAAGGAGAGTGGAGGAGGAGGAGGAGGAGGAGGAGGGGAGGAGAAGGACAGGAGGAGGAGGAGGAGGGGGAGGAGGAGGGGAGGAGAAGGACAGGAGGAGGAGGAGGAGGAGTGAAGGAGGTGGAAGAAGGGAGAAGAGAGAGGAGGGGAGAAGAAAGAGGAGGGGAGACATGGGGCAACAGGAATTGAAGCAAGTAGAAATGCAGGAAGAACCAGAGTGAGGGGGAGGGCGAGGAGAGGGAGGGCAAGAATGAGGAGGAGGAGGAGAGTTCAGTATCTCACTTCGAGCAGCATGGAGCAGGGCTACAGCAGCAAGGGGTGCAAGTTCTGCTCTGCGAGCTTCAGCAAGCCGTCGAAGAGTCACTGGGAAGGAGGGCAAGGGTGCAGAGAAAAGACGAAGATGTCGAACAAAGACAAGAAGAAATTCTCCGGCAGCAAGTACAAGACCCACTCCCGAAAGTCGGAGAGAGTCGGGCAGAAGAAGAGCTGAGGAGAGGGAGGAGAGAGGAGAGGAGAGGAGAGGAGAGGAGAGGAGAGGAGAGGAGAGGAGAGGAGAGGAGAGGAGAGGAGAGGAGTAGGCGAGGAGG